TCTCCTCTCGGGATCTTGGGCACGCACGCACATGCGCCCGGCGTAAGTTTCAAGCCACCGGGTCCGGGATGCGAACCGCAGTCAACTACGTGGGAGTCCAGCGACATAGCCATTATGCTAACTGCTGGTCCCCTCTATAATTGGCATTTTAATACTCCGCGTTTAGAATATATAGAATTTAACTTAAAATTCTTCACTGTAGTATATTCTTTTTGTCAATATTGAATGCATATTTTCCCCCTTTGGTATCTATGTTGTCTGGTATGACTAGAAACACGTTTTCTTCATTTTAATTTTTACCTAATTTATATTTGTCCATTTTCAAATTTTAACCATGGCAGGTCACTTTACTTCAAGACTCTTTTCTGATAATCAGCTTAAAAAAAAAATTGCCAGAAGGTGCATGCACTCACCAGAAAGGGAAAGAAATGGAGAGAGAAAATAAGAAAGTGACAAATCACCCCTCATGGGGAATATCCACACTGTAATCCCTTCTATTTTTCCGTCCTTTTGGGATTTGGGGCTTTTGGGTTTTTTGGATTTTGCCCACATGTTTCTCAAACCACCTGGTCTCAGACATGAATCACTTAGTTGACCAGGTGGGATCCACCGGCCTTAATCACCACACCATAGGCTATACCCCTTCCTCACCACCATCCCCCCGATAATCAGTTTTTAATTCAATTATATTTCGGGGGTTTTGTTTTGGTCATAGGGTTCAGGTACTTGCTGGAGAGAGAGAGGGAAAATGAGAAATTGCCCACCCCAGGGGGGATGGCCATGCTGTAATCCCTTTTCCTCCATTCTCCTCTCAAGTTTTGGGCATGCCTAAAGTGAATTTCAATCCGCTGGTCTGGATTTGAACCATGGTCAACCATGAGGGAATCCACCATGTCACCTGCTGGCTCCAAGTCAATTATGTATTTAATCCAATAGACATTCTTTTTTTTAATTGAAAATTCATTATATTATTTGTTGTGGTTGGCCTTGCCTTATCTTATTTTTCTTTCCTTATTATCTTTTGTTTTTTTTTTATTTTCTTTGCAGAGACAGTTTCCTAATTTTATACCTAAGTATCTAGCCCAGTACCTGGCTCATCATAGACACCCATTAATTGTTTGAGAATGATGCAGAAAATGGTGATGTTGCACTTAGTACTTCTAGTGGTTAACTTTTTAAAGCATTAAAAAAATTCACTAAACATTTTTTTTTTTTTTGAGAAATTTTCGCTATAGGGCGCGTGCACTCACCAGACAGATAGAGAGAGACAGAGAGACAGAAAGCGAGAAATCACCCCCCAGGGGGGATGGTCATGCCGCAATCCCTTCTCCATTCTCCTCTTGGGATCTTGGGCACGCACACACACGCGCCCGGCGTGAGTTTTAAGCCACCGGGTCCGGGACGCGAACCGCGGTTGACTACATGGAAGTCCAGTGACATAGCCATTGTGCTAACTGCTGGTTCCCAAAATTAACTAAGCTTTTAAGGTTAAAAAGAATAATTAAGTTCTACTCCCCTTTACTGAAAGGAGAAAGGTTTAGTGCTTTTGAACTGCATTCGGCATCTACTACTCTAGTCTTTGTCAGCTTAAGGCATGTTATGATCATCACCATTTTTTTTACTTTTACATTATGAAATAAAGATTTAAGAATTATTTAAGAAAATTATTTAGGTGTACATTTTACTTGTTTCCATTCTTCCAATTTCAGCTACGAGTTCCTCAGTCTTGTTCCTGTTGTCTTATTTTTTATGGTAAATATCTATAGTATATTAAGGGCAGTATCAGGATACAAGAGGTTTTAAATTTTGTCCACATATGGCCAGGCACATGTGCGTGTGTGCCCAAAATCTCAAAAGGAGAATGGAGGGGAAAGGATTGCAGCATGGCCATCCCCCCCAACCCTGAGAGGTGATTTCTCACTTTCTGTCTCTCTTTGTCTCTCCAGCGAGAACATGCACCCTATAGCAAAAAATCTCTCTCTAAAAATAAAAAAAAAATGATGTTCATATGTGAATATTTTCTATTGCTTTCTAAATTCAATGTCCCAGGAGAGTCTATTAGAATCTTCAAACATCAGGTCTTCCCAGAAAAATCTAACATGGTTCCTTTGGGATGTCCCTCAGCCAAGGATTCCTGCAAACGGCAGCACAGTCTGTGTGCTGGCTGGTGAACATCTAGCCATTACATCCTCAGGTGTACTTGGAGCAGGTAAAAGTTTGAGAACCAGTTTTTCAGAATTCAGTGTCATTGACCAGGCCAAGGCTAATAATTTTTCTTTCTTCATGGGAAACCTGACTTTCTATTCTGAGGTACTTGGCCAGGTTTGAGTCAGAGCCATCTCTGTGGCTAGTACTGGACACTATTGGGATTGGCAGTTTGTCCAGAACCACAGGCAGTGGGGAGAGGGAATTCTCTAAATAAGCAGCCGTGCAGTTACTGGGGTGGGAGGAGGGGCAGGGATGCCAAGCAGCCAGAAACCACAGTCACTACAGAAACTCTGATGAGAAAAGCATTTAAACCAAACATGGATCTTCTGTGGGCCCTTCTCCAAAGACGCTCACTGACAATTTCTAGATTGTATGACTTAAACCTAAGGAACTGAACTGAGGTAATTTCCTGATTCTTATTGTACTCTCATAGGTCTGCTTACTTAGCTCGAATGTCTACCAGTTGGATTATATTTTTGGTTATAATGTTATATTATTATATTATATGTGATATTATTTTTCCTAAAAGAATTGGATCATTTGAATTATAGAAAATTTAATTTAATTTCAGCCAACCTGAGTAGCACATTATTTAAGTGCTGTGTATATAGAGCTAGATTCCACATGATGGACCATTGTTTGAATCCGGTGGCTTGAAAAACAAGTCAGCTGCATGGTCATGCATGCCGAATATCCCAACAGGATAGAAAAGTGAAGGAGAGGGACCAACAGTTGGTGTAATGGCTATGTCACTGGGCTCTCATGTAGTCAACCGTGGTTTGAGTCCTGGACCCGGTGGCTTAAACTCACACTGGGTGCATGTGCGTGTGTGCCCAAAATCCTGAGAGGAAAATGGAGGAGAGGGGATTGTGGCGTGGCCATCCTCCTGGGGGGTGATTTCTTGCTTTCTGTCTGTCTCTTTCTGTCTTTCTTGAGAGCGCACATGCCCAATAGCAAAAACCTCTCTAAAAAGAAAAGAACAATGAAGGAGAAGAAATTGTGGCATGACCAGGTTCACTGAGGGGCAGGAGGGAGGTGGCTGCACTCTACAGTGAGCATGTGTGCCCTCTAGCGTAAAAGGACGGAAGGCAGGCCTTCCTTTCACATGTGTTGAGTGCATTCTTGACACTATTTTCTCAACATAGAACACTAGTTCACATAAAAATGTATTTCTAACCATTTTTGAGATGTATATGTATGTCTTGTGCTTGACTGAGTTTAGTGTTGACTGAAAGCTGTTTATTTTGGAAGGGGAGAGGGTATTTGTTGGTGGGGACTACAGAGCTAAGTGAGGGTGGAAAAATGCCTTCAAATGCAGGCACTTCATGCTAAATAGATATCCCCATAGTTACCCTCGCAGTTATCTTGCTATTTCACAGAGGTAAAGGGAGTAAAATTAAAAGAGCTAGAATTCTTATAGTACCAAATGAATAGAAAAAATAGTATGAAAAAGAATAGCAATACAACTCATAAGTTCAAGAAACATCATAAATAATATCAACTAAGAAAAAATTAATTTAACCAAAAAACCAGTATGTCTGAATAGAGTCCCTGTGGGCCAAGGTGTACTCGACCACTGTAAGTTTCAGCACTGCTGGGCTGACCACGTGAGCACAGGGCAGGGTTTCCTGCAGGATGCCTTGAACCTTCAGCGGAAAACGAGGACCAGAGCCAACGTCCATACTGCATTTTGGCATATTTAACTCGGAATGTTCTGAACGGTAAGCCAGCTGGGTTCCCCGTGCCTTTCTACACTTGTGATGGACAAACTTCATGTTTCTCATCCTATATGTGACAGGCTTTTCTATTTTTAACCTAAGGGCAGGGCTTTAGTTTCACTCCTAACAAACGATTTGGTTGATTATTTCAGTTCACTGTGATCCAGAATCTGTCATGAAGTGCCTTTACTTGGCCCCTGAGTTTCTGGCAGTCTACATACGTTACCTTCTGTATCATCCTTCAAATTGCTGGTAAAAGAAGCCAGGCTGTAACTTTTAAATTATGGTTTTAAAGAAACTAAGTTTACATACATCTGTAATCAAAAGAAACTACCTCTTCTCTTTCTCGCTCTTTAGTGTTTATAACAAAAAGTAAACATGACAACCTTGGGTCTCTGCTTTTGAAGGTGGAAACCTTTCTGTTGGAACTGTGAGCGGACATTTTTCTGAGACCATGGGAGAGGAGACAGGTCTCACAGCTCCTCTCAGACGGCAGGACCAGAGATGAGGGGCCCTGCCAGGAGATTTCTTAAGCCGTTTGGGCCTCTCTAAAATGATGGTGAAGGTGAGAAGGAGAAGTAGCAAGAGGCCCTGGCACTGTCTCCAACAGGAAAACTTCCTCCCATCGGAATCCTTTTTTGTTACTCATGTTGTTTTCCTTTTGCCTATATAATAATGTAAAAAACATGGCCAAAAAAAAAAAAAAGTGCCCTGCAATATTATAACAAAGAACTACAACTCCAGCTAAAGCTTTGCAATTACGTAACAGGTTCATACTGTCCATCTCTACAATTAAGGAATGGAAGGAACAGGAATAAATCTACCCCCACCACACCCTGAAGAAGGGAGTACCTCCATCCATGACCTTGTTTGGCAAGAAGGAAAAACACAAGTTTTGTCACCATACCGTCATCTTAGCCATGAAGAACAAACCAAACACAATAAATTTGAAAAATCAGCATTTCTAGGGTAAATATTTCATTTAGTTTAGATTTAATTACAGATTGACAGTCTACTACTCTGCCACAAAAATTATTTGTACTAATGGAAAAAAAGACAAACACAACCTAAAGATAATGTGATTTTGCTTTATTGAATAGTACCCCACACCCAATATTTACAGATATTATCAAACAGAATTATAAGACTACCACATGGAACATTTTAAAAAGTTACTCTAAAACAATCTTAATGGGAATCATCAATTCATGTGTGTTAATACATTAATTAATTAATACTTCTTAGCCAATATCCATGATGGTTCTAGTGCCAAGAAGAGATAAGCCTGAGGAATATTTTAAAAATCCAGAAAAATATTTCCATATCTAGTCATAATCTTCCTCTTTTGTCTGTAAAAGAAAGCAGTAACAATTATAGACAATCTCAGTTGTGTGCACGACTAGCTTCTTTAATGCCATATTTAAATTTTAACATAGAAAATTATTCTTTTTTTTATATTCTCAGTATAGGTTTAAATGCTTTCCTTATGCTTAAAAAAGAAGATTTTGCACAATCCGAATGTAAAACCAGCATCTGTCATTTTTAAAAATGGCAGTAAGGCATGTGGCCTTGACCCTCCGTGTGGAAGGTTCTTGGAGGGAAACAACATGTACAATGAAAGTGAGGAAGTTCTCTACCCCGCCCTGGGTGTAAAATGGGAGAGGCCAGCTGCTCTCACGGACATTAGGAAGACATTAGACACAATATACACCTACGTCAGAGAATGCCAGACATGATGGCCAATGGCTTAATTACACCTGTAACAATATTCTCAGAAGAGAAATGCAAAGAATGTAGATTTCATGAACACTGTGGCGGACTGGGGCATTATTTACTATCCACACACACATAAAGGCGTCTCTCACTCTGGTTGTGGTGAGCAAACTATTCCAGATATACAGAATTCAAGAGTTAGAAGCATTTCTTATGTTTAAAACTATATCATGTGTTATTATACAGAGCTTATTATTTTTTCCTTTAAAAATTACTATTTCTCAAAATGTATTATTATTATGAACTTTTTAGACAACCTAACTTTTAAAAGCAGTGTGTCAGGGACAACAACTGGTGTATTAAAAACTTGAAAAATAAACTTAATAATTTTCACAGAAGCCATTTTTGTTAGAATGACACTACTGAAGGGATTGGTAAGCATGCCTTGCAAAACCGTAATGAGTAAATATCATTTATTATCTACTATAAGAAAAGCACTCACTTGCCTAAAAAGGTTCTAGAAAAGTAGTGATACTGGGGTTTTGTTTTTGTTTTTTTCAAGTAAAAATTTCCCTTACACACAATAAGGAGATTTTCTGCTTAACAAATCTGTTTTGCAGATAAAATAAGGGCAAATTTCAGACTTCAATATAGCTCTATATAAATATTTGGAGCCCAAATTAATGGTGCTTGATGAAGCATTATTAAATAGCAGAAGTTACCCCTATTTGTGAACAGTTTAAATCATTGAAAAAATAGACGTGAAGGTGAAAGTGGAATGACAATGGATCAGGTGGAACTGCCATGTAAACCGGGGCAGAGAGCACTCCACCAGTGCGTGTGAGCTCAGGGTTAACGCCTGCACACATCTGCTTTCTAGAAATGACATATTACATATGCCCAGCATGCCCCTCTTACATGTGAATATACCACTGTAGAGTGGAGTATGTTTCTCAAGCTGCCATTGGCCTAACAGCGCACTGACGCCTGCTGCTGCCTGGTGAGCCGCGCCCCGTCAGAGGCTCAGCCCGCTTTCTCCAAGTGCGTGCGTACCCACCTGCGCCGTCAATAGTTGATCATCTTTCGAAGGGCATCATAGCACTTCCATTTGTCTGGGATGTAGAAGGGTTCAAAAATGTGAGGAAATGGTGTGTCATACCCACATACTCTTGATATAGGAGCCTCTAGGTTCAAGAAACATTCTTCCTGCAGAGAAGAATTGAAATCGCTAACTTTAATAATGTTTTATTTTTTTAATCCACAGAAATGAAACATTTCATTGAATATAATTCACTCACTTAAAATAGAACTGCATCCCAGGACATTAGAAATGATTAAGTATGGGGATCAGTAGATGACGTAACAGTTTTGTCGCTGGACACCCATGTAGTCAAACGCAGTTCAAGCCCCGGACCCGGCACCTTAAAACATGCTGGGCACGTGTGTGTGCATGTCCAAGATCCCAAGAGGAGAATAGAGGAGAAGGGACTGAGACATGGCCTTCCCCCCCGGGAGGTGATTTTTCATTTTCACTCTCTGTCTCTCTGGCAAGTGCACATGCCCTACAGAAAAAAAATTGCTCTTAAGGGAAAAAAAAAGAAAGAAAGAAGTGTTCAAGTATGAAGCCAGCAGGTGACATGGAAGTTAAGGTGCTGGATTTCATGTGGCCAACTCCACAATTTGAGTACTAGAACTGGTAGTTCAAAAATCACTCCAGGCACGTGAGCATGTGTGTGCCCAAAATCACAAGGTGACTGGAAGAAAGGGGATCGTGGTGTGGCTGTCTTGCCTGGGGGATGATTTCTCACGCCCCTCCCCCATCTGTTTCTGTCTGGCAAGTACATGTGCCATATAGGAAAACATTCAGTATATTGGGCCTATACACAAACTTATTTTTTAAGCCAAACAGGGATCACACTAAACACAGATATTCTATAAATATAAATGTAAAGCATGACAAAAACACACAAAATATTCATAGTTGTCAGCTATGTGACTTAGATTAGCAGTATCTGTTTTCTCCTCTGTTTCCTGTAATTTTCAAATGTTATAAAATAATTCTTCTACATTTCAGTGAGACTGAACTTCTATCATTACTGGACGGTGTCCTCATCTCATAGTCAGGCTTTTGCAGCTGTTGGTGGTCCCTTGGCCACATTTACCCAAATCCACTGCTCTTTGCCTGACTGATGTGTGTACATCTTTCATGTATCACATTATGTGCTGCCTCCACTAGGAAGCCTTCCTTGACAGCACCTCCTAACATACACTACATATGAGCGAGGGGCTGCTGACCTGGGCTCCCCCAGCAATGACCTTGGCACAATCCACTGTAGTTGCCCAGTGGTCTGCCTCCCTTGAGAATCCCTTGAGCACCACCAGCCTAGAGGTCTGGTTGAGCATGTCACATCTCAACCCTATTAGGACACAGTAAGAAATTTTCTTCGAGGGGAAAAAATGTATTGAAATGAAAAATTCAAATACAAAATTTAAAATAAAATTGTAAAGAGTTAAAAAACTCTAAAAGAGAGATATATGATTAAACTATTCTAAGGAAAATATTAATTTTGCCATTCACTGCTATTACCTGAAATAAAACTTGGTTTTTATTCATATATTCATCGATTGCTTTGGTTCACATGGTTCACAAAGAGAGAACCCACATTTCTTACATCTCACACTAACTGTATGTTTAAGTTTTCATTTGAGCAGAAATTTTTACATGAAGGAGTCCTGATACCTCAGGCTCAATTCCTACCCGCTGTGCATATTTCTTTCAGTGACAAGTATATGAAGCAGAAAAGACATGCCAATAGGACAAATTAGCTCCCAAAAGAACCAACTGGACATTCACAGACCTCCCTGGGCCCCAATATGCACGGTGACTTACAGCTTCGTATAACAAGTGTTAGTATTTCCTAGCAACAGGAAATCTCCATGAACAAGTTCAGAACTTCTAATGCACACCATTTAAAGAGTCACATCAGGATGTCCATTACTAATAAGTTGAAAAGAGAGGCTAGATTGGGGGAACTGTTTTCTGACGGCAACAAATAACTTCTAAAAGCTTTAAATGGTCGGTGTGGGATTACACTAGGTTTTATTTTTTCGGCTGACACAGGCTGTTGTTCCATTCTCCCTGAATACTACGTGGTTCATAAACAACTCTCAGGAGATGCTGCAAAATTCAGAAAATCAAGGGCAAAATATTTCACTAAATACTTTTGGTTTTACACCTGTTTCAAAATCCTATTCTTTCAAACTAGCAACTTGGAAAACCAGTCTACCACAAAATGATGTCAAAGTGTGTTAAAATTACTCCTTTTAGCATATTGACTAACATCATCAAACTACAGTTTTTTCAGAGAGCTGCATTCCTAACTCCTCAAGAATGTGAGCATCATCTTCCCAGGAATGCATGTATATGTCCGCACAGGCGAAGAGAAACATCTGCGATGAGCTCGCACTTGAACTGTAAACCGTGGTTGCCCTTTGAGGCTAGGAACGCCAAGGGGGTTTGAAAAGACTCCACTCTGTACTTGATACGCATTGTTTGAATTTTTATGAGATAGTACAGATTTTGTAATCAAATGACACTAAAAAGAGGAAAATGGTAAAAGTGAAGCTTTTTTTATGTGAATAAAGTTCCTGCTTTATATGAATTTGTAACTTAATCAGCAGGGTTTCCTTAATTTGGAAGTGGTTACTGTAAATTACATGGAATTAAATGATTACAGAGTGCTATTATAGAAGTACATAGAATACATTGTTAATAATCACGAAAGATAATTCAGAGAACCATAACAGAAGACTATGACTGGGGTATTCCATGTTGTGAGAATATAGGCTGACCATCTGAAACAGATCATGACATTTAGGCCCATGACAGACCCACGTACAACAGTTATCCTATAAGATGATGCCATGGAAACTGGGCAAGAACTTCTAAGTCTATGGAACTACAATCTATGGTATTCACAAAATGGCAAAATCACCCAACAATGCATTTCTCAGAACACATCTCTGCTTGTTTGTTTGTAGGTTTCTGCCATGGGACATGTGAGTACATGTGAAGGGTGGGCTGGGAGTAAGAAATCACCCTGCCCACGGAAATGACCACACCACCATCCCTTCTCCTCATTTTCCTCTTGGGATTTGGGCATGCACGTGCATTTACCAGCACACTTTTCAAGCTGCCAGATCTGAGACTCCAAATGAAATTGGCAAGTGGGTGTTCTGCACCTGAATTACCATGCCACCTGCTGGCCCCATGTATCTCTGTTTTTATTTATTTATTACTTATTTATTAATGTTTTTGCTATAGGCTGTGTGCACTTGCTATAAAAAGAGAGAGAGCTGGTGAGAGGGAAAGTGAGAAATCACCCTCCAGTGAGGATGGCCACGCCTCAATCCCTACTCCTCGATTTTCCTCCTGGGATTTTGGGCACACATGCACACACGTCTGACTTGATTCCCAAACCACCAGGTCTAAGACTCAAACCACACTTGGCCATGTGGAAGTCCAGTACCTTCACCACCACACCATCTGCTGGGAACCCTGAATCTTCATTTTTAAGTGATACCTAAAGAGGCATAAATTACTTCTTCCATGGACTTTAGTTAAAATTTCTTTTAAAGCAATTCTAAGAAGATAATTGACTCAATCAAGTAGTTGTACAGACTGACTTCCCACTGAATTGGTTCACATACAGATGATTTATATGTGAGTGTTTCTTTGAGCAACCTTGAAAACAGGGCACTCTTAGCCTCGGTTTTTTTCATATGAAAACTGTACAGACACACACAGAAAAAGAAACACTTACCATATTGGCAGATTTGTAGATTAAAGTATCTTTCTCTAGTATAATCACATGACACTGTAACTATAGCAACCACGTGCCCTGAATTTTTTAGACAATCTAGATTAATTCTTCTGTTCCATTGGTTACATAAATACACTCATATTTCACAAACCATGTTTGATGATTTTTTTACTCTGAAATAGTAAGGCACGTAAAATTAGGAATGATCAATGGGGTGGCTGGGAGGGTACGTTTAGTGTCTAGAATAATTACTATCAGCAGGGAGAGTCCGTTTTTGGCCTTTCTGGAGAGCAGTGTGTGTGGACTGGCTCCATCCACATGGAACAAAGACAGATGTGGCTGAGAGGGTCCAGAGCAGATCACAGTATAACATGGAACCAGGAGCAACAGAAGAGAACCCACCCGGGCCCCAAGAGACACTTTTCTCTAGCTATCTGGAGCCTAACATTTTACCCAGAATCCAGAGAGGACTAAAAGTGAACCCCTAGCAATCATGTCATAATAGGTCATTTTGTTGTGGCATATGCTTTGACATAAACAATCATGTGCTCAAAGAAAAGTAGATATTTCTTCCAAAAGACCTGTGTGAAATTCTAGAATATGGTATTTGATTTTTACTTCCAAATAGGTCTTTTCACACCTATGAGAATTCTCATTGTACAATACATTAATAGTAAGAATAGTGACCAGCATTGAGGCTGTTCCAAGCATGGCACTAAATGAGTTATATTTTACATTATCTCATCTCTTTAACAGATCTATAAGACAGGCATTATATTCCCCTTCGTAGGTGAGGATATCAAGATGGAGAAGCACCAGAGACCAAGAGCTACACACACACAGACCAGTAAGATTCAAGCCTGCTACAAAGCTGATGTTCTTAGTCCCTCTCCTGTAAATTCTGAGGCCCTGTGATGGAGAATTGCACTAATAAGAGGGAAAAACAAATTGGAAATAAAAAAGAACGATAAGATGGAAGGCAGCTGGGATTATTAAGGTTTGATGAACAGGGCCTTGAGAGGCAGGAGTTAAATCTGGTCAGAGAAGCCACTTCCACGTTTAAGGAAGGTGGAGGCCACGCTATGTAAAGAGCTGGAAGCACAAACGTAAGCAGCGAGGTACACGCAGTCAACAGCAGATGGTTATGTGTCCCGGGAACCTCCTAAACTGGACTAAATGATTTAAATAAGCATAACTTACATTGTTTATATATTAGCCATCTGGGTTGCTATGCGTCTCATAGCCAGAAAAGGAAGCAAGCAATATGAAACAATTCCAAACCATTAAAATCATAGACACAGGCAAAATAAATTATCTTTGTTTGCCTATTTTCTATAACAAAATAAATTTATCTTTTCATTTTGCTTTGTTTTTGGAAGACAG